ACCCTAAACCCCTAAACCCAAGAGGGGGGAGGGGGGGTAAGGGGGGAGGGGGAGGGGGGAGGGGGGAGCGGGGGAGGGGGGGGAGGGGAGTGTGGAGGGTTCAATGGCCTAGTTGGCAAAGACTCTGCTCTCTGAACCCGAAGGCCTTGGGCTCGAACCCCCCTGACTACATGAAGTGGCTCATTCTATGTCTCTGCAGCTTTCGGCTCAAACATGTCTGTGCTCAAAAGATTCTGCAGCCCTTCATGCTCGCCAGGCCTAGAGCAGGCTTGGCTTGAGCTTGCAGTTGGCATAGCTGAAGGCTACACATCATGGGAAGACAAGGAAAAAGAAGAGAAGAGGCTGAAGCAGAAGGCAAGAGATGATCGAAAGAAGGCGGTCAAGGCCAAGGCAAAGGCCAAGCCCAAGCCAACGGCGAAGCCAAAGAAGGATAAGAAGAAGAAGAAGAAAAGGACCAGAACCAAAGAACAGGAGGCTGCCAAGAAAAGAAGGCACAGGGCAAGGAAGCAAAAGAAGAAGGAGGAGGAGAAGAAAAAGAGGCAGGAAGCCAAGCTGGTGCAGCTCAGAGCAAAGTGGAGGGCCAAGTACCAGGCCGAGCAGGAGGTGAGGAAAAGAAGGAGAGATGAGAAGGCAGCTGCCAAGAAAAGGGCCAAGGATGGAGCAGGGTACAACTCCAGTCTCACCCAGTGGGCATAGAAGAGTAGCTAGCAAGCCCCACAAAGGAAACACAAAAAAGAAAAAAAGTGAAAAAAGCAGGCGACACATGTGTGTGTAAGCCCTGTTATCTTGCCCTTCACCTCCTCCTAGAAGCCTTATTATTAAGGGGCTACTGGCTAACCTAGAGGGTGTTTTCAGGGCTTTGGGGTTGAGGTTTCAGGTTTTAGGGTTCACCCTAGACCCTTAGACCCTAAGCCGAAACCGTCTAAGGATTCCTTTAAAAGAGCTTCCATAAAAGGGCATCAGAGGATTTCAGGGGTGTAGTGTGCAGAGTTCGGGTTTAGGATTGAAGGGTTTAGGGTTTAGGGGTTGAAATGGGTTTAGGGCTTCAGGGTTTCGGGGGTTTAAGGGTATAGGGTCTTGGGCGTGTTAGAGTTTAGGGAGGGCAAAGGGCATTGGCGGTCAAGATCCTTGAAGGCTTTTCGCTTGGAAGACTTGGTAGAAATAGTACAGCTGTCCTTTCGCACTGGAGCGTTTGCCCTCTGCCAAAAACCCTAAACCCAAATCACCAGTGCTACAAGCAGATCAGAGGAACATGCATTGGACAGCAGATCTCCTCTGGGCTGTCAAGTTTGCCGGTAATTCTTCGAGAGCGAATGTGGCAACGCTCATTCGCATCAAGCCGGAGAACCAGCAGTCCTTATTGCAGGTGTGATAGTCAACTCTAAATAAGAAAAACAAAACACTACTATAAAGGAGCCCAAACCCTATTCTGATTCTAGTTATTAAGGCCCCTACATGAGGTCTGATTCGGTTGCTTGGGTTCAGCTCCTTCAGGACTTTCTTGCACTCTGGACGCCGGTCATACTCGGCCCAGACTCTGAATGCCAAGGAAACCTGAACCTTCTTCGGCCCACCCAAACTCCATCTCTGCAAATGTGAATTCGCAAGGCTTAGGGCCACATCACGTCACGTTGGCAGATTCGACATTACGACAGCGCTGGGATTCGACGGGCTGGCTTCTGTTCGCGAAAAGCCTTACCATTTAAGTAGGTGTGGCCACCGAGTGATCGCCATCCACAACCCTGACACGCTAAGCACTGCACCCTAAACCCCAAACCCTAAACCCTATAAGCCCTAAACCCTAAACCCTAAACCCTAAACCCCAAACCCTGACCGTAAACCCAAATCCTGAGACCCCAACACCCGCAACCCAAAACCTGAAACGCGGTTTGGGGTTTAGGGTTTAGGGTTTAGGGTTTAGGGTTTAGGGCCCGAAACCCAAAACCTGAAACCCCAAGACCCGAAACCCCTTCTCAAGAGTTCAGGGAGGGCCTGCCATGCCGCAGGATCTGGTGAAGAAGGAGATCGAAGGGAAAGTGATGGAGGCCGTCATTCTGCTGAGCTACACATGGATGTAGGGTCTGGGGTTTAGGGACCCTAAATCCTACATGCTCAAATGCTAAATCCTAAATGCTTAATATAAATCCTACATCCTGAACCCTAACTCCTAAATGCTAAATCTTAAATGCTCAAACCTAAATCCTAAAATCCTAGATCCTGAACCTAAATCCTAAATGCTAAAATCCTAAACCCTAAATGCTAAATGCTAAAATCCTAAGAGGGTTCAGAGCACGCACACAAGAAGAAGGAGGACTCCTCGACATCCACTCGGTCCAGTAAAAACTGACATTTTCAGGGCATGACAAGCCAACATCAACCCTTGATTTTCCGATTCTTAACTGCGAAACCTTAAGATTTACGGCCTAAAACCTTAAATCCTAAATCCTGAACCCTAAGCTCTAATCCTAAAATCGTAAATCCTAAAATCATCAGTCCAGCCTAACATCCTAAATCCTAAACCTTAAGTCCTACTATAAAGTGCCATTGAACCCTAAATCCTCAAATCCTGAACCCTGAAACCCTGAATCCTGAATCCTCGCGGACCTCCAGAAACAATGGTGCACGACCTAGAGACTCCAAAACCCCTTAATTAAGGAATATACCTTAAACCATATTAGGGGTCCTATTATAATTTAAGGTATATTCCTTAATTAAGGGGTTTTGGAGTCTCTGGGGACATGGGGTTATCATTTAGCTGCGCTAAATGTTGTCTGGATACGGCCAGCCCTTAATTGAGTTCGGACGTTGTAGTAAGCAACGCCAAATTCGTTGACGTCATCGACCCCTCTCTTAGTTTAGGGTCTGGGGTTTAGGGTTTAGGGTTTGGGGTTTAGGGCTGAGGGTTTA